ATATATCATATCATATCAATAGTATATAATTTTATATATTAATATGTAATATATTATAAATTTTAATGAAATTTTATAAATATATTATATATATAATATTTCTGTATTTTACAGAAAATTATTATAATTTTATTTAAATAACTTAAAATTAATTACAAACACTATATAAATTTATATAATTTATATAAAATTATTATAATTTTATTAAAATTAAAATTATTTAAAATTAATCACACAAAATTAAAAATCACTCCATCACCCCCCAGCTGCTGAGCAGCAGTTTCACACAGCCCATGCCTCACAGGAATTATGAAAAAGGGAAGCAAGGCTCCTGCTGGAGATGCAGTGCATGCCCACAGCTGCTCCTCTGCCCAAGGGCTTTCCTTGCCCCACAGGCAGCGCCTGGTTTTGCTCCTGGAAGCCCTCACTGCTTGCTACTCCCTTCCTTTTTCCTTGTTTGCAAACAGTTTAATTGGTTTTTCCATTCTTCTGAGCAGTTGAATTCTCCCATGTTGTCTGACAATTCCCTTTTCCTGACTCAGAGATGGGGCAACTGAGAGGCATTTCTGATCCCAAAGTTTACACACAAACTGTGTGAATCTTCTATCAAACCCTACAAGCTCTCCACAAATCTCTTTCCTACACTCTGTAACTCCCCAATTCCTCCTTTTTGAGGGGATGAGAGCACTTTCCCTGAGGAATGGGGGTTCAGTTCAGGTGGGAGCAGTAAGGGCTGCCCAGCGTGGGTTAGAGGCTTTGCTCTGTCACTGTCACACCCCGAGTGTCCCCAAGGGGCTCTGCTCTGTGCCCCTGCCCAGGGATTTGTGTGGGAGCCCAGGAAATCCCTCTGGCTGCCCTGGAGGGCTCCAGACCCAGACAGGAGCCAAAGACCCCTGAGCCTTTGATCTTGACTCGTGGAAAAAACAATTACCAACCTTTATATGAAGAATTACAAGTCAAAAGAGTTTAAGTAGAATATTAGTCTGTCACGGGGTGAAAAATAAATTTTTGAGGGTTTCAGAATGGGGGCTTGGGGTCCCAAGATGGAGGAATTTGGGTGTGCCTTGTCCTTTTTCCTTCTTCTTCTTGGCCTCCATCTTCTGGGTGATGTTGGAATTTTTAGATTGGTTTAGAGTAGAAGCTCACTGTCTAACATAGGTGATGGGTATTGGGAAGTAATTGTAAATATTGTACACATAGTTTTTAGTACAAAGACATAACATTACCCTGGGGGAGGCAGAGTGCCTCTGTCTTTCCTGCTGGATGGACCTTGGCAGGGCAGGAGAAAGAATTTTATAGAAAAGGAACAATAAACAACCTTGAGAATGAGAACTTGCTGCAGACATCTTTCATGAAAAATCCTTTCCTTAGGATTTTTTCCTCCTGAGAATCTGTGAGGCCTCAGGAACAAAATGTAAACAATGATTATCTGCTGCTGTGGAATGCAACAGGTGCATCTGTGATGGGTCTCATGTGGTTGTTTCTAATTAATGGCCAATCACAGTCCAGCTGGCTCGGACTCTCTGTCTGAGACAGAAGATTTTGTTATCATTCTTTGCTATTCTATTTTATTCTTAGCTAGCCTTCTAATAAAATCTTTTCTTCTATTCTTTTAGTATAGTTTTAATATAATATATATGATAAAATAATAAGTCATGCATCTGAAACATGGAGTCAGATCCTCATCTCTCCCCTCATGCAAGAACCCCTGTGAACACTGTCACAAGAAATTAAGAGCTCTGACTTCTTCGATCACCAGGCTGGGAAAAGAGACTTTAACACATCTCGGGGTCTTTCTGAGCGGCAGAGATCCTGAGAATTGTGGGCACTGCAGGATTTAGCCTTGATGTAACCAGCACCCTTGAGGCACAGGTTTAAATCACTCAGCTCCCCAGTGCGGGAAAGCCCAGAGATGACAGACTGATGTGGGGGAGATTGGATTGCTGTCAAACCCAAACAACCTGCCCTGCTTTCCCTCAGTCCCTGCTGGAATGGAGCTCCTGTGTGTGTCACCAGAGGCATTTCTTTGGGAAATGACAATAATGACAAGGCAGCCACAGCAGCACGTGGCCAAAGCCATGCCGGCCTGCTGCTCACCACAGTGACCTGCTGGCTGCCAAAGGTTCAGGCAAAACCCCAAAAACTCCAACTTCAGGGCCCCTGTGGAGGAGGAGGAGCCAAATTAATTCTGCTGAATTATTCCCTTCTGAGGAGCGCAGCAGATTTTGGGAAGTGCTGGCTGTGTGCTGAGGGTCTGGGATGTGTCAGGATTCCAATGGCCTGGGAGGGAGAGCAGAGCCTCTGAAAGCCTCCAGGCAGCATGTGCAAGGCAGGAGGAGAAGCTGAGAGCAACCAAAGCCACCAAGAACCTGTGCAAGCTGTTTGTGCTGCCCCTGGGTGTGTTTGTGATGCCCTTGAAGGTGTTGGTGATGCCCCTGGGTGCGTTTGTGATGCCCCTGGGTGTGTTTATGATGCCCCTGGAGGTGTTTATGATGCCCATGAAGATAATTGTGATGCCCCTGGGTGTGTTTGTGATGCCCTGGAGGTGTTTGTGATGCCCCTCAGGGTGTTTGTGATGCCCCTGGAGGTGATGGTGATGCCCTGGAAGTGATGGTGATGCCCTGGAGGTGTTTGTGATGCCCTGGAGGTGTTTGTGATGCCATGAAGGTGTTTGTGATTCTCCTGGAGGTGTTTATGATACCCCTGAAGGTGTTTATGATGCCCCTGGGTGTGTTTGTGATGCCCATGAAGGTGTTTGTGATTCCTCTGAAGGTGTTTGTGATGCCATGAAGGTGTCTGTGATTCTCCTGGAGGTGTTGGTGATGCCCCTGGGTGTGTTTGTGATGCCCCTGGAGGTGTTTGTGATGCCCTGAAGGTGTTGGTGATGCCATGGAGGTGTTTGTGATACCCCTGAAGGTGTTGGTGATGTCCCTCAAGGTGTTGTCCTCTCTCCTGTTCCGGATACCATTCCAAGGACACCACCTGAAGTGCAGCTTTCCTGCTGCCAGTGCTGCTAACTCAGGCTCAGACACACTTGCTCTGGGGAGTGCAGAAATGACGAGACAATTCCAGAAATACATAAGCACGACCTTCACAGAGAATTGGGTTTTTTTAGAGTTTTAGGAAGAAAACCAGTACAAAATCCAGAATCAGGGAGAGAGGAGATGGAGATGAGCTCGTGTCTGGTTCCAAGGCAGGTGTGTAAAATGTGAGAATCCCAGCCTCCCAAGGGTTTGGGGTGTCTCAGCTCAGCCTCCTGATGTGTGTGCAGGAACTGAGCAATGAGCAATGAGCCCAACTTTCCTTTCATGCAGGGAGCAGGTTGGGAGCACTCAGAGCAGCTTTCCTCATCATGCCCAGACATGATTGCAGAGCCAATGAAGCAAACAATCCTGCTCTCACCCCTGCTGCCCCCAAGGCAGTGTTTCACTCCTCTGCAGGGCCTGGCCAACGCTGGCTCCCATTCCAGCCCGTGTTCCCTTTGGTGCTGTGGGACACAACCCCCAAACTCAGGCTCTGCACCCCAGGAGCTGCTCTGGGGCAGCCCCAGCCCTGCCTGCTGTGCTCCTGCTGTAGGAAAGGGGCTCAGGGCTGCTCCTGGGGCTCAGCAGGAGCTCCAGCACTCCCAGCACTGACCAGAGCTGGGAAGGGAACAAGGATTTCCATACCAGTGGAAAGATGTGGAAGCTGAACCTTCTTCACTCAGCTTCCATGACCTGTGGCGTGTTCTGCAGATAAACCAGGGCGTGCTCCTGACTCACCCACCCTCAGCCCAGCCTGGGGTGTCCTCACAGCAGCTCCCACCCAGCTCTGCCCTCCCTTCTTCATCTGGTTCACCTTCACAGGGAACATCCTTGCCTGGATGGGAGAACACATCAAAGCCCATTGCTCCTGCCTGCTCTGCTTGCAGGTGACATGACAGGACATGTGCCTCGTGACAGGTTCACAGGGCACGTTTTGGGGAAGGGAAACTCTCTGCCAGCTCATCCCTAGAAGGCAGGCAGGTATTTGTACTCCCAGTGGGCTCCTTCCTCACCAGGAAAAGGCAGCGTCTGACTTTGGTCACATTTGGTAATTTACAGCAGAAAAAAGTCCAGCACAAAGGAGCAGCAGAAAGAGCAGCGCTGGACTGCTCCCAAAGAGAGATGCAAAGTCTGCCACCCAAAATAAGCACGGGAGATGGACCCAAATTGACATTTGGCAGCTCTGGGTGTCACTTGCCAAAGTCACAAAGGGACCAACCACAGGCATCCCAAGGTGTCCCTTGTCCCCTGTCTCTGCCAGGAGAGCCTGCATGGCCAGGAAATGCCCCTCTGGAGGCATCTTAGGGACTACAGGTTTCCAAGTGTGCAACAGTTCTCAATTTTCTCAAGCAGTTCTCAGTTTTCTTGCACAGCATCCCAAGGTTTTAAAAGCAGAAGAAAATCGTGAAAAGGGAAGTGAATGTTTTCTCTCCAATGCCTTATGCTCTCCACCTGTCCCACATCCTTCCCTAATCATTGCTTCTTTACAGAAAAGAGATTTCAGGAGCAATACAGGATGCTAGAAAGGAGAGAGCCAGCCCTGTAAAACTCTCTACCTGAGGGTGAGCAGAGAGGTGAGAGGTTTTACTCAAAAAAGACTGAGAGAAGACAAGCACTGTCCACCCAACTCTTCGTTATTATTGGAAAGAACACATATCAACACATCCACAGTTGAGGCTATGAAAGACATAAACACCTCTCCTTACTCAAAACTGAACTGGGATGCAATAAATCAGCCCCCACATTCACACAGAAAACCAAAAAAAAAAAAATTAAAAAAAAATAAAGAAAAGAAAGAAAGAAAGAAAGGAAGGAAGGGGAAATTTAGATTAGTCACAAAGAAGTTCCCCCGCCTGCTTCTGTGTGCATAAAGCAATCTCCTGAAGGCTCTGCCTTCACTTCATCTCTGCTCTGGGACAGGAGCTCCCTGCCAGCCCTGCTCCCAGCCAGGCCCCTGGGATGGAAGGGGGGGCTGGCATGGACGGACAGACGGACGCTGAGCCGGGGCAGCAGCTGGAGCAGCCGAGGGAGGCAGCAGAGCAGGAGGGGAGGCTGTGGCAGGGAGGGCAGGCCAGGAGCTCGCTGCACCTCATCTCTGCCCTGGCTCAGTGGGTTCTGCTGCTCGCCTGCCTCATCTACCTGGGAGTGCATTTCCTGCGGCCCTCCAAGGTAAGAGCTCAGCTCCAGCCTCTGCCTGCTGCCCTGAAAATCATTCCATAGGCTTCTTTTCTTTTTTGTTTTAAGAAAAGAAAAAACCTTCTAAGTTCATCCCTATCCCTTTTTAATCCCTTCTGTATGATAGTATATTTTTTAAAATTTATTTTATTTTTATTTATATTGCCTGTCTTCAAAATGACATTCAGTGTTGTCCAAAGCTTTCCATAGGCTTATTTTATTTTATTTTTCTTTTAAGAAAAGAAAAAGCTCTTCAGTCTATCCCTATCCCTATTCAAGTTTTTAATCCCTTCTGTATGATAGTATATTTTTAAAAAATTTATTTTATTTTTATTTCAATTGCCTGCCTTCAAAATGACATTCAGTGTGTCCCAGTGCAGGGTTTGGGCCCAAGTTTCCAGCAGAGTGACTGTTCCAAGAATGCTTTTTACACTGACCCTGGGGAGAGAGGTCTCACTCCCTCCCACTCTTGCCCCTCTCTGCAGTGACTTGTGCATATTTCCATTTAACTGAATGAGACTGAGTGTGTGAATGACAACCCAGTGTGCTCATAAACCCCTCCTGAACTTGCAGAGTGTGCTAAAAGGCAAGAAGATGTGTGAGAAAGCAAGTCACCCTTGGGACAGCTCTAGCAGGACCTCCTGACACCTTTGGGTGCTCTCAGCCTGGGTTGGGAGCCGCAGCTCCTTCTGTGCCTGCCTGAGCAGGGCTGGGGTGTGCAGGGAGAGCTCTGTGTGCCCAAAGCACCAGAGCAAGCAGGACAAATGCCAGAAGTGCTTGGGGCTCACAGTGCTCCACACAAGCTCAGCAAAGATGGGTTGGTTTGCCTCTCTCACGTGCCCGCAGGCTGCTGGATTGTCAACAACCCCTCACTGCTGCTTCAGAGCTGCAACTTCTCCTCCCACTCCTTCTCCAGGAGCTCTGCACCACTTTAAAGCTTGTTGTGCTTTGTTTTAGCCCAGTTCCTGCTCTCCTCCCACCCAGGCTGGGCACAGAAGGAAGGCAGGCAATGTACCCATGGCCTCCTGCTCCTCATGCTGCTCAATGAAACCCTGTGCTCTGCACAGCTGCCCCTGCCCTGAGGCTCACAGGGGCGATTAAACTGCAGAACACCATCCAGATAACACTGAAAGATAACTCTTATCAACCAGGTCAGCCCTCTGCTCCTTGCCCTGCCTTGGGAGAGAGGATTGCACTGCAAGGCAGCAGAGGAGGGCACACAATCCCAGTGCTCAGGGTGCAGGAACCTCTCCCAGCTCACACTCTGAGCATCTCCCAGCATCTGGCTCCTCTGGAAAAATGCTCCAGAGGAAGAGAGCAGGGCCCCGCATTGCTGCCTGGGAGCCTTGCAAGCCCAAGGGAGCAGCAGCAGCCCCGGGGACACAGAACATTCTGGAGCTTTTCTTCCTCAACAGAAATAACTGAAACAGGGGCTCCAGGAGCGGCAATGGCAACAGATGAGAAATCCAGGTCCTGAGAATCCCCAAAGGACCTTTTCAGTTTGAAACACTTGTTAACCACAGGGTTAGGACTATTATTTGTGTTGTTTTACCAGATAAGCCTGGTGTCCTGTTTGGAGTGCCCTGCTCTGTGCAGGAGTGGCACATGGGGAGATTTCATTGCAGTGCAGCCACAGGGCTCAGCTGGATAACCATGAACTGGCCACACAAATGTCTCCTGGAGGGGCAGCAGCTCGGATCTGACTGGGCTTTTGGGGAAGTTTAGGGATATTTGTGAAATTAGGGCACAGCAGTGTGAGAGAGGCAGGCTTGGGGTGCTGCCCATGGAGTGAATGAGGGGCTCTCCCTGCCCTCCAAGGTGCAGAGGGCAATGCTAACTTTATTTTCAAGGGAATAACTGTGTGTGTGTTTTCACAGAGACACTGTATTTGATTCCTTTCCATAGTCCTTGTGGAAACACAGCTATTAAAAAAATCCCTCCTAGACTGTTCTGTGAAAACAGAGCCTGAATAATGTCATGGCCCATCCTCAGCATAGGCAGCATCTGCAGCCTGGACTGTGCTTAGCGAAAAGGGACAGTGATCTCATTTCTGTCATGGTGCTGCTAGGAGAACAAACCCCAGCTGAGATTTCCAAATGAGGAAGTTAATAAAAAGGTCGCTGATAATCTGCTTTTGCATCTGCTGGAATTGCCTTCTCTTGCCACAGCTTTCCTCTCGCTTGGGAGGTGAAATCCCTGACCATGGCGAGGAGAAGGTGCAGCCCCACTTCCAGGGCAGTGTCACCTGCCACCTGTGAGACACCTCCGTGTGTGACACAGGCTCAGCCAGCCCCTGAGGTTTGTGCTTATTCCTGAAATTGTGCCAGGTGGGGTGGCCCTGGACGGTGTCCCAGCCAGCAGAGTCCCTGTTTGGGGATCCAGAGCAGGCAGGGAAGGTCTGTGGAGGGTGTAAATGGCACAGGGGAACCTGAGGCTGTCAGGAAGAAGCAGATCCGTGTCCTCAGCCCTCCTGGCACATTTCCTCATGCCCTGCGAAGGCAGAGCAGAGAAACAAAGGTCAATAACAGTGCCACCAGTACGTGGTGTCCTCAGCAGGATTTACCAGTAGGCAGCTGCACAGAGCTCTGAGAGCACACAGTAACTGCAAGAGATACATAAACCAGGCAATTTGCTTTAGTGCCAATGGGGTCCGTATTCTTATAAATGCAACAAGTTTGTCAATGTTGGCTACACCCTGTCCATCAGTGGCCAGATCACACAGATGGTGGCAGACCTTGTGTGACCCCAGACATGTGCTCAGCGCTTTGTTCTTGTCTTGTTGAGAAACTACCTGGCAATCCCGGCTGTGTGAGGCAGGAGAGAAATGCTTGTGCATTAGGAGGGAGATCAGGCGTGAGACCGGAGCGGAGGCAGTGGGAAGGGGCGGTGATGCCAAGGGAGGCAGCTCCAGCTACTCACGGGCGATGGATCTTGTGTGTGCGAGCGGTCCCAGCCCCGCGGGCACGGAGCAGCAG